TTTTTACGGATAGAGAATGTTTGTTAAATAAAGAAAAGTTTGTTTTTAATAATTAAAGGCTATAAAAGTTTCAATTATCTTTAGCTTATTAACTAAGCAATTGGTACTTACATTAATGAGATAGATAGTGGATTCTTCCACAGTTTGTTTATGTTTGGATGTATCGAGTGATCCAAAGGTCCGTTAACATTTGAAAATTTAATAATTCACTGAAAACTGTAGGCAGTGACACACATGCTTGAAATGTCATGGGGTTTTAGTGAAAGCAAAAAAGTGCTTAAACCTTACAACGCGTCGTATGATAACAAAGGCAATAATTAGCATAACAATTGAGTTTTAGCAAAGACTATGTTCTTTATAACTAATTTTCAACACGTCAACCGTCTCATCAACATGACCTGTAGTCGAGGGACAATGTTGTGAGTAGCACTGTACTGCATCTCTGTAGGTATGGTGAGAAATTGCAGTCGGATGTTGTATTTTAGCATCCCTAATGCGGTCGGACGGTCGTAGTAGACTTGCAATTTCAAATAACCCAACAACTAATAATCACACGGATTGGGATTTGGGATCCTCAGATGCCAAGTATGACGGAAGTGGAGGTTATGGTCAAAAATATGTTGGCCCAATATTCGTGCCGAGTTTTTAAGATTGCTGATGTTTACAGTTTCTCGTGCGTTTGAACCCAGACAAACGGTATGGTTTCATGGATAGTTTTCATGGTTCTTTCATGGGGAATACAAGGCAGTCTTTCTTAAAAACTCCTCCACAAAGGCATCGCGAGCCTTCTGAAATAGGCCTCATGTGCTTTGCCATATTCCGATAAACAAACAAAACCAAAAGCTTGTCAGGTATTTCCAAACTTTCTGGAAAGCTATCGAGCTCAAATTTTGTATACACACTGTTTGTGGATGATAATGCAATGTGGTGAAGCGATTTTTTTCAAAATTTGATTTAGATGTTTTTCGGAAATTCAGTGTTTAACTTCCGTCATATAATGTTTAACCACATACCTCGATTTAACGAACGAACTAACCACGTCTGAATTTAACAGATTCCATCGTCGAATAGACCGAAAAATATTCTTTTCATTGCAACCGGTATGAAAATCTTAGCTTAAATTCTGAAATTTTGGCGAATTTTTGAAAACTGCTGAATTGTTTAAAATATTTTTTGATATTTATGATTTTAAAATTTCAACATCTAAATAAAAGTTCCGGTGTACAAAATGGTAAATTAACTTTCGGTCTCACTGGGAAAAAAGATACTGAAGTTGGTGCACCAACTGTTCTACCAAGAGTTTCAATAGCAAACAAACGGCGGCTTCATTAAGCCTAGCGCCACTTTTAAATTGTTGATAATTCTATAACTATTGCATGCAGTTTACCTAAAGGCGTAAATACCTTAACCAGAACATAAGAACAGCATAATTCAACCAATTTGAAAGCAAAAAATGCACATATACGAATAAAAATACAGAGCTCCCCAAACCGAGTAATAAAGGAGGAACATGATGTATATACAGGGTTTCTCAAAAGGTCGCTGCCAAAATTAAGTTGCTCGTCTGTCATACCACAACAAACAAGATTTACTTAGGAATATGTGTCTGAAAATGCGAACGGCGACCGCTAGAGGGCAATGTTCGCAGGCATATGGGAGAGTGGGAAGTGAGAACATTTCAGGCGAGGACGTTGCAAAAAAAGGATTAATTAGTTTACTAACTCAATTCTTTATGGATTTTTTTTTTAAAAAAAGGTTATTTTCGTTGAAACATGATACCCGAAATTTTTCGCGATTCCAATACTCCTTTACTTCGTACAAGGAAATAAAAAGTTAATTATTTATGCATTTGAAAATAAAACTAAATTAATAGGTTTCGTTATTCAGGCATCGCACGCTTTTATTATTCGCGATATAAAATTGTAGATGAATTCTGGAAAGAAAATTATTTAGTCTATTATTTCCATTTACCTGTATGATAAATTATTTTTCTCCTTTTAGTACATTACTTATCATATCCATTTTACATAAAAACTTAACATATAAAACCGTTTTCTCTGAATTGTATTTGATTATATTCGGAACCACTGCAGATAATTTGTCATAATTGCTAAATTTTTGTTTAATAATTATCTTCCTATTTGTTACGAAAGTTGTTTTCTGTAGCCCAAAGGGACAATTTGTCCAGAGAGGCTGTTAATTAATTTCGTTTTGGCATTTACCATTAAAGGACGTTTCAACTTTTCAAATTGTTGCCACCCAATATCAGAACCCTGCATTATATTTAAAGAAATCAAATAACGAAGAATCTGTATGAATCTGTGTATGTTTCTCGCACTATGAAAAAACAGCGGTATCTAGAGACATCAAATTTTGAATAGCATAGCCCTCCACTCGAATATGGGCATCTGGAAGCCCAAATTTGGAATTTGTTTTGTTATCTGTTTCATGTTTTGTAAAACTTTAACGAATTTTTTATTAACAAACTCAACAATTTCGAAGAGAGCAATGGCAACACTATAAGGGGGGATACTTTTGCGTCCAGCACACGAGGCTGTGTATTCTAAATTTAAAGATGTGCTCATTTTAAAATTATTTTGCGATATTGCTTTTGAATTGAATTTTATGGTTTAAATGAGAAGAAAACGATATTTAATAAATAAAGGTAGCGCACAAAATGTTAAATAAACGCCCCTTTTTTGGCGTAATCTGAAAGCTCAGAAGGGCTATTAATTCTGAAACGGCATTTTGCGTCGATTCACTTTTTAAATTGTTGCTACCAAATATTATCTACATGTATTATAAATAAAGTAAATAATGAAGAATCTGCATGAATGCAGAAATGATTCTCGCATAGTGAAAAAACAACGATACCTAGAGCCATCCAATTTTTAATAACGTACTCTTCCAACTGACGGAACATTAGCACTAGGAAGCCCGAATTTTGAACTTGTTTTGTTACCTATTTCAAAATTTTGTAAAACATTGACGAATTTTTTATTAGGAAACTCAACGATTTCAAAGCGAGCAATGGCAACACTGTACGGGGGTGGGGATATCTTCAGCTCGCGAGACTGTGTATCGGAAATTCTAAAGATATGCTGTTTTTAAATATTTTGTGATATATCTGTTGAATTGAATTTTATGTGGTTTAAAGGGACGGTGGACTTTAAAAATTAGTTTTTTAAGTTTTTGTGTTTTTAATAAGAAATTTTATAGATATACATATAGTAGCATCAGTTTGTAAAATATATGTTCAAAATGTTTTTGGGAAAATATCTCTTTTTGTTAAACATTATCACAAGTTTAAACTTTTAATAACCTTATATCCGAAAACGCATACACAGATCTATTGTAACATAGAACAAGATAGTTTCTTTCAAATATCATTCATTTTTAACTAAAAATGAGACGCATGGAGCATTTTCAAGACATACGAACTGCGAAAAATACAGGATTTAAAGCTTTTCTTCAAACTTACCTTTAATACATGGTCATGAGAAACACCAAATTAACTTTAAATATGAATGAATATATAGACACTAGATAACATTTTCGCATCATTTAATTATTTTTAATCTCATAATATTAATATAAGAATAATAAACATATCGCAAATTGGTTCGTGATTAGAAGTTTGAGGTAAAACAATTTGAGGTAGAAATAATTTATGCATTATATCCAATGAAACTTTTAAAATTCACTCGCATCATATGTTTCACCTTCGTTTGTTATACTTACATTATCTTTTAATGTTTTACAATATTTTTTTACTATTTCTCTTTTTTAGTCCAAAGGGATTTGAATCCCGAAGGACTATTAGTTTCGTTTTGGCATTTTGCGTCGGACTCATAAATGTCGGTTCACTTATCAAACTGTTGCCACAAAATGTTAGAGTCCTGCATTATATTTGAAGAAATTAAATAATGAAAAATCTGCATAAATGTATGTATATTTCTCGTATTGTGATAAAACAACGGTACATAGAGTCATCGAATTTTGAATAACGTCATCCTCCAACGAATATGAGCATGTGGAAGACCAAATTTGAAATTTGTTTTATGATCGATTTCTTATTTTTTAAAACTTTGACGAATTTTTGATTAACAAGCTCAAGGATTTCAAAGCGAGCAATGGCAACGTTGTGCAGAAAAAACATTTTTATCTCCAGCGCGTGAGTCTCTGTATCGGAAATTCTAAAGATATGCTCGTTTTAAAACTATTTTGCGATATTGATGTTGCACTGGATCTTATGATTTAAGTGCGAGGAACATGATATTTAATAAAGAAAGGTAACACACAAAATGTTAAAAAACGCCCCTTTGGACGTAATTTAAAATCTGAAACATTTCAGATTTTGTTTTTTTTTTTCCCAAGCAGGTAAACTTCTCTTTTTGCTTTGGTTCAAGCGACGTTGATCACGTTTTTTTGCAATGAGTAGAGAAAACGAGTTTGTTTCTTCCTGTTTTAGGCGTATAACATTCACGTAACTAAAGTTAAATTCATTAATAGTTGTCAATACTGACATTTTTAGCCTTTTTTTTTTTTTAGAAATAAACACTTCTTTTGAGCAAATATATAAATTATTACATCAGTAAATAACTGTTTAAATACTTTTTTTTTTTAAGATTCTTCTCCAAAATTTAAAGGGCAAAGTTTACGTTTTTTACACATTTTAAATGCTTTCAACTTCCTTAAAAATTAGAATATTTTAACTTGGTCTTTTGCATATGATGTAGTTACGTATATGGAATATTATGAGAGTTAAAAAAAAAAAAAAAAAAAAAAAATTCAGTATTTTGGTTGATTTTTAGCTATTTTAAAGTCCACCGTCCTCTTAAGTGCGAAGAACGGGATATTTAATAAATAAAGGTAATACACAAAACGTCAGAAAAACGCCCTATTGAGATAAAATCTGAAAAACCTTAATACTTTTGTTTTTTTGTTTGTTTGATTTTTATGTCTTATTGTGACTAATGCCGGCAATATCTTCTTTACAGCCAATGCTTCTTGCGAGAACATCCGCTGCCGCAAAGGAAAGCGGTGTCTTATTGATACGAATGGTGGACCCCCACGTTGTGTGAGCTGTCCCAAACAGTGCCCGATAGCGAAGACGGAGGCGTTGTGTGCCACCAACAACTATACTTATTCTACCTGGTGCCATATTATGCAGGACGCATGCAAACATGGGGTGTTGTTGGAAATGAAACATGAGGGACCTTGCGAAGGTAACTATCTTTTCTATTAGTTTTTGCTTAAAAACGATAATTATACAAGTTGTGACACACACACACACACACACAAAAAGGCGGGGGACTTCTGCATTCGGTGCTGCCATTGCTAGTAACAGTTCTTGAACGAAGTTTTTCTTAAAGGCCCTTCATAAGATTCTCCGTTTTTGTCTGAACCTCTTCAACTGATGCAAAATCCCTTCCCTTTAAAGTATCCGACCATTTTCGGAGCACTTTTTTTTTTTTTTCCAAAAATGCTGTATAAGTATACTATAAACAAATTTTCTCATTTATTATCTACATAGATTAATTATGGAATATCAATGGATACTATTATTATCCTTCAAAAATATTAAATTTATGTGAAATTTTAAGCAAAATTTAAAACAATTTGAATCATTCTACATGAAAAAATATTAAATTTATATTAAAAAAATTCATACAGTAATAAATTATATGCTGTTATCTAGGGAATGACATGAAATTTTAAGGATATCTTGAATAATAAAAAAAATTAAGAATTTAAAAATTTTTAATGAGATTTTCGATAAATTCACGATGTTATTATTTAAATAACAGGCCACAGTTTTAAAAAATATTTAACATATAAATATTCTGGTATGTCATTTCCTAGATAACTACGTATATATATATATTAAGCGCACAAAATTTCGTAAAATAAAATAATAATAATTTTATTTATCTATAATATATCTAATATATATATCTAATAATAATAATTTTATCTTGCACCAAGTAAGCAAGTTTTTAGACAAAATAGATTTTGAGAAAAATGCATTTAATGTTTAAAATGCTATATTTTTATTATTAAATCTTCACCTAGATACCTAAAACTCCCCATCTATACGTTATACCTTCCTTTTATTCAGGTTTATCTCTTTTGCTGTTTATATTTAGCCTGTCTGTTTTTTGTGGCAATTTTTACTTTGGGTAGTGAGGGATATTTTGATTTACTTATTCGCTCCATGTCGAGCTTACTAAATCTCTCGACTGCATATTCACCTTGTTACATACCTATGCAATTTAAAATATCTAGTAAGCCTAAAAGCCCTCTATTTAAGTGTATAACATCCATATATGCCCCCAATTTAAGAGTTTGTAATTCCACATTGGCATCTATCGATATAAATTTCCAAAAAATGTCATTAAAATTTTGTTTGCATTTTGTGTTTTTCTTTATAAGCACTCTTGTAAGAGCTCTGCTCACATAGTTTTAAATATACACTCTGAAGAATATTCATTACATTCTTTGGCCCAGTCCTTTTGGATTTGTTTGTGTACACTCTTGTAGCTGATAGAGCTCGCTGATATTTACAATAAATGTCTGGTCCATCTGGGCACTGGCCATGCATAGCTAGTTTTGCACTCGAGAAAAATGTGAAAAAAATAGAGCAATTACAGCACTTTCCATTCATTGTTCCTGATTCTAATTCGAAGTTGGTCAATAAAGACATCCATTAGTGAGCAACATTGAACCCTCCATCAAGATATTTTTGTTTTCCCTTTAATTTTCTAACTGTGGAACGAGGCTTCTGGATGACTTATGTGTTCATATTGTTCATATTTGGTGACACTACTTAAATATAAATATATTTTACGACAGAAATCGCTTTCAAAATATCATCGTCAATATCTCCTGCCGATGAGAAACATTTTAGTTTTAGTTCACTCAATGGGAATTGCTTTATTAACATCATTCTCAATTTCCTTCACAACCCGTTTCATAAATTTGTTCCTTACGCATTTACGTTTACAAATACGGCTTCCATTTTTTTATCACCCTTTATTATACTTTTAACTCGAATGTTAATAAAAATAAAACAAAGACTAAGATAAATCTAATTGCAGTATGCGATATTTGGAATCAAATGAAACTCATACGCTAGCAAGGACATACGCTTTCAACAGGTAATTAATCAAAATATTGCATTTTATTGGAAATAATTTCATGTTGCTGCACACATTATAGATAAGATTATTTTAGTTTCTTCTCTTTAAAAGTCTTTAAATTACATTTCCCAGGTAAAAAAAACATTTTTGTCCATTTCTAGCTCTTTTCAACCCTTTGAATGCGCACTTTTCGGTGATTTAAATGCCCATTTTCGGTTTTTACTTCGGTTTTTACGTCTTTATGAAAGCCTTAATATCTCGGTTTCTAATTAACGTAGAAACAAAAGCAGATCAGTTTTGGAAAGCTACATAAACAGTCTCTCCAGTGAACAAATAAAAGAAAATCGCCAATTTTGCCAAAATTGCCTTTTCAACGTGTTCGGATACCTTAAGCAAGATTTCAATTTAGGAAATAAAAAAAAGACGCATGGAGACAAATCAGGTGAATAAGGAGGATGCCCCTTCACAGTAATGTTTCTCTGGTCAGAAATTGCTTGACAGATAGGGCCATTGGGAACGGGTGCATTGTCCTGGTGCAACAGCTATTCATTACTCCACAACTGTGGCCTTTTTCCCCTAATTTTTTCACGAAGTCTTTTTAGTACTTCAGCGTAATGTTGATTTATAGGTTCGAGTCCCGGCGAAGGCATTGCTCATTTTTCATGTCTCTTGCTTCAAAGAAACGTAACGAATCTACAGTGACGCCCGAACTAAAAGGTGGTGGATGATGATTCTTCACCACCAGGATTTGGCGATGGGGTCCCCTAATCCCCAGTCGCCCTTTAAAAGAGGGGAGTATATATGGTATTTCCCCCTCCTTTCTAACGGTAGCACAATCGGCGCGTATTCGAGAGATCCAGGTTCGAGTCTCGGCTAGTTTATTGCACATTTTTAACGTCTCCAGCATTAAAATAACCTAACGGCTCTAACTTTTGAATGCAGATCACGAATATGAACTAAATAATGATAATAGCGACATTCGACGTTAAGAAAATGTATTTCAGAGTTTTATTTTGTGTACTTCTGACACAGTACCACAATTTTGTGTTACTGTCCTGTACTGATACGCGACTCTGGAACAGTATATGATAACGAAGAACAATTCTGCACAGGATGACGAAAAAATAGCACACTGAACTCCTATTTGTGGAATAAAAGGATACACATTGCTGCATTACTGTTATTATTTTGGGAGTTTATCTTTATTATTGCATTTATTGTATGATAATAGCAACTGAAAAGGAACAGGAAGAGGAAAGATACGTAAACTTGTTCTTAGCGACGTTAGCGGCTGTTTTAAAATTTTCAAAGTTTTTCTTTGAAAATGTGGATTAACTACGTATATATACTACGAACGTCACGTATCTATTTCAACTACAAAATATGAAATAGATAATAAAATAATTATAATTTTGTATCAATTTAAAATCTAATTCATATTTTGTAACACTTTAACGAATTTTTGATTAACAGAATCAACGATTTCAAAGCAAGCAATGGCAACACTGTACCGAAACAACACTTTTGTTCCCAGCGCGTGAGACTGTGTATCGGAAATTCTAAAGAAATGCTCATTTTAAAATTATTTTGCGATATTGCTGTCGAAATGAATTTTAGAGTTTAAGTGCGAAGAACATGTTATTTAATAAATAAAGGTAGACCACAAAACGTTAAAAAAACGCTCCTTTGGGCGTAATGTAAAATCTGAAAGCCTTCAGTTTATTATGAGTCCAAAGGAGCTTTGCCCTTGAAGGAATATTGTTTTCGTTTTGCGATTTTGCGTTGAAAACTTTAAAAGGCTGTATCATTTTTCAAGTCGTTGCCACCAAATATTACCGCCCTGTCTTATATTTGAAGAAATTAAATAATGAAGAATCTGCATAAATGTATGCATGTTTCTCGCATTGTGATAAAACAACGGTACCTAGAGCTATCCAATTTTGAATGATGTAATCCTACTGCGAATATAGGCATCTGAAAGCCGAAATTTGAAATTTGTTTTATTATCGATTTCGTAAAACTTTAACAAATTTTTTATTAACAAACTCAAAGATTTAAAAGCGAGCAATGGCAACAATCTACGGGGGGGGGAAGAAACCTTTTTATTTCTAGCGCGCGGAACTGTGTATCCGAAATTCTAAAGATAGGCTCATTTATAAATTATTTTGCGACATTGCTGTTGAACTGAATTGATATTTAATAAATAAAGGTAACACACAAAACGCGCCTTTAGACGTAATTTAAAATCCGAAACCTTTCACGTTTTTTTTTAATTATTATTATTATTTATTTATTTGTGTTTCTTTTTCCTGACGTTCTTCCATAAGTGCTCGGGCAATTCTAATTTTAGAAATTAAGCCTCTTTAAATATGTTGCAAGATGTAAGGAAGCCGTCCAGACTTCTAATTTCAAGTTTTTCTTTTTTTAGAATCCTCCTCTCAGCAGACGAACCTCATCCCTCTGAATGTGTTCGAATCACCGGATCACCTATAGTGTCTAGCATCCGACGCGTCTTCTGGCTCTTGCTTGCCGCACTGACGACGTGTTGTTTCCACGAAGCCAGGTGCCGCTACTGATTGGATGACGTCACATTCCGATTTCGATGACGGAGAGCCCCCTAGTGGTCCAAAATAGAAAACGCGCCAAATGATGTGTTTGTGGAACTGTAATTTCTCTCCGTGAAGGATTTAATTATGTATTCTACATGTTAACTTTTTCAAAAACCACTAGCGCTGTGTTTGTTATGGTTGTAGCTTCGAACTCACAGTTGGTCAGTTCCTTCGTTCTTGATGTTCCCCCTTCCTCCCTTTTTTTTAATCTCCGTCTTCATATTTTCATTTTTTTTTTTTTTTTTTTTTTTTTTTTTTTGTGTGTGTGTGTGTGTATGAAAGACGTTTTTCTCACGTTTCTTACATAAAGGTTGCATCATCTTAATGGTCGCAAGAATTCAATGCCAAAGAAATTTTAATAAGTGCTTACTGTAAAAAAATCAACGAATAATTTTTTAAGTTATATTAAATATTGCTCAATTATTAGAAAATTGTCAAAATTTAGGTAGCTTAAATCATGTTATACAATGTCCTGAAGTGATCCAGGTGGATACATATGAATTAATATTGTTATTTTGTCGTTGCTCTTCGTGTTAATCTATTAATAACTTCCCATTAATGATTAATTATAGCTGAATATTCATTTATGATATTCCAATTTCAGCTTTCAAGTTTATTTCACAATTATTAATATCATTAATTGCAGGGTTTTATAGGAAATAATGGAAGGTAAAGGTTTATATTATTAAATATTGATGAAATAAATTTTATCAGGCACTGGGTTTTATAGGAAATAATGGAAGGTAAAGGTTTATATTATTAAATATTGATGAAATAAATTTTATCAGGCTCTTTTGGAATGTACACTGCTGGGAGCGGAAAGGACAATTCTATACCTCTCGTTCTACTGGTCCGATTGGCAAAATTGAAATTGTGTTTTCCATATCTCGAAAGCACGACTTAGGATACATATTAGATATATATATAGCAATGTCCTAGTATAGGTATTTTTACACAAAAATCGGACTTTTTCCGAAACGACAGCCAATTTGGTTTCCATATTTCGAATCTACGACTCAAAGTATGTGCCAACTGCTAAGTTTTGTAAAAAGCGCACGAGTAGTTTTTAAGAATTACTCCTCATTTTTACTCCTCATGTTATTGAATTGGTAGATATTTTATTAATCTATCTTTTTTATTCAAATTTTTGATGCTCCTTTCACATTTCGAAATTTAGTTCATTCCAAATGAAATTCGCCCTTTCTTATGATTTATTTTTTAAATTTGTATTTTTAAATAACTTACTTTTTTTGAAAAAAAAATTGAATTATAACCTTTAAAAATTTTAACATCATCTTAAAGTAGATGTATTTCTAAGCATACCTGCAAAAAATTAGAGATTTTTATTCCAAATTTCCTACGATATACGTGAATTTACACTTTAGCGCGGTTTGAAATTTGGCGTATTTTTTTTTAAGCGATAATAACGAAAATGTCGTCTACCACTTTGTTAAAGTTATTTGAAAGTAGGAATGATGACTTCCACCCCCCGCTCGCTCACAAAGAAAAAAGGGCAAATGAAAATAGGTTGCTGTAAATTAAGAAGTTCGTCAAGTGAATTATTCTTGGCGCAAACTGAAAAAAAAAAAAAAAAAAAAAAAAAAAAAATGCACCAAGATAAATTTTTAAATTTCTCCGTAAATATCTCACCAAAAATTATAAAATTTAATATCCCGGCACAATTTAAGTTGTAGAATCGAAATATGGAAAACAATTGGTATGTTATTTCAAAAAAAGTTCGATTTTGTGTCAAAATACCTATGTTAGAGGAATGCTATATATATATTATACGAAAGTAGAAAGATAACATGAACAAGGGAGACCTTAGTGGTCAAGACTTCGGGTCTTGGGCTAATTTACTATTTGTTGAAATTCTTTGTAATATTTACTGTGTATTTAAATGTTTTAATTATTTTGCGAGCATCATATTAAATTATTAAAATTTTTGTATTAAAATTTATTAGTTTTTTCCCTCATTTCTTTTTGATTTTGAATTATCTCGTTTGTATTTTTACATTAAGTTTTTACGCTATACTTTAGTATTGTTTGTGTTTTTAATGATTAACTATTTTACCGGAACTACAGTGTCAATGTCTTTTCAGCAATAACTTTTAAACATTCCTCTTCTTCGCAAATATATATATATATATGTAATATATACCCTAAGTCGCGCTTTCGAGATATGAAAAATGCAATTTGAATTTCGTCAATCGGCCCAGTGGAACAAAAGATATAGAACTGCCTCCCCTTCTTTTTCGCAATGTACAATAGATACTGTTTAATGTGATCGCGGTTAAAGTTAGCATTCGATATTGTTACCGAATTACCGAAGTTCCGCCCGTTTGTTTACAAAACTACGGAAAATACTTATGTACAGTTCAGTTAATATTATTAAAATATTATAGAATAAATCTTTTTAAACTGAAGTCGCCAAATAAGTTCAAAATACATTATAGAAATCGCCAAATAGCAGAGAAATATCACCAAGTAAGATATTAATTCACCAAACAATCTGGTTTCGATTTTAACGGACCATTTTAAATCAAGCCTAAAAATGCAACCTTAGTATATGCCTAAATTTTGAATAATATTATTTATTTTGAGCGCAGTCAGCCACAGGTCTTCCTTCTTAAGGTATTATTTTTAAAAAATCTACAGAATTTGTTTACACTCTTTTTTTTTTTTTTTCTGTTCCTGGGAGGGGTGGAGAATCAATATCTACTGGAGTGTCCCCCCTCGCTCTTTCATTTCCCTAAGGGAAGATCCACGAAAATATCTACTGAAGTGTTTTCCCCCCAAATTTTTTTAATTTTATATTGGCATGTTCTCTTTCAAAGAAGAATGCCCTCTAAGTATTAAAATTTCAGATTCAGCATCCGTCAAATTGCTTCCAAAAATAAACATATCTTTGCCTTTTCCTAATTAAAATGCTGTTGAAGTACCCATTTATATGCTTCTCCTTAATATTTATTTTAAATTAGTTAAATTCCATCGATAATTTGAGGGGCATTTGAAAGGCAAAGTAAGGATTAAATTGTGGAACTGCTTGGTTTTCATTTTAGTCCACCATGTCAAACTAAGCAAAAAAGACAACCTTAGTTTAACGTAGATTTTCAATAACGTCTACAGAATTTTTTTTTTTTTTTTCCTGAAAGTAATAAAAAAAAATCCCTAAAAATATCTACGCTAAACAAAGAATGCCCTTTTTGTCTTAATTTAAATTTTACATTGAGCAAGTTCTGTTCAAATGAGAGGATGCCGTTCGAGAATTAACCCTTAAATGCATGAATTTTTGTTTTTATTTTAAAGTCAAAAATACATTAGAATTGATAACAAATGAAATAGGAAAAAATCCTTAAAAAAAATTTAAACTGTTTTTATTCCAATTTTTGAAAAAATATTATTAACTTTTACAAAAAAAATGATAGGCAAATAATAATTTTATGTAATAATACATACCTTAGAAACTTGTTCAAACAATTTTAAAACTTTGATTACATCTATAAGGTATTTCACCCACTTTCCTAGCGTGCCTTCGTGGTGTAGTGGTCTGCATGCTGGGCGCGTATTCCAAAGATTCGCGGTTCGATTCTCCCGTCGAAGGCATTGCTAATTTTTCATGACTCCTGCTTCCGAAAAATACCTAATGCCTCTCTGCACATCAAAATAACAACAAACACAAAATCAAAAATTCGTATAGTGGTGCCACCGCACTTAAACTTTCAAAACTATATACGTAAACAGTATATGTTTCTGGCTGCATGCATATTAAATCAGTTAAAGATGACTGCCATTTTGAAGGATATTTTTCTCATTGTTTTCTATATCATTCGGTTAATTTTATCAAAATAGCGGTGAATAAGAGGCATCTACTACTGTATTGATATTTGCTTCTTCCTGCGCCCCCCTAGTTCACAGTACCGTCATCCTTGATGAGACACAGAATCTTTTAATGCATTTCTTTTTAACATTTTGACTAATTTTTGTAATTAAAAATTCTAGAATAGAAATACTTTTTAAACTTGCCACTTTTTGCACTTTTTTGCCACGAAACAGTTTTCATAAAAGCAATTAGGTAGATGCTTTTTAAACTTCTAATATAAATTACGCTTTGAATGCATAAAGTTGTAATTTTATGGTAGGTAATAAAGTTTACAGTTTTTTAGTTATTACAGAAATCCTGTTAAACCAAAAATTATGCCAGGTTAATTATGTAAAGTAATTTAGTAAGTATATCTCCAATTTTTTGTGGGGGGTGGGGTGGATAGTATACATAATTTAATGTTTTGAAAAACATATTCTTCACATACTGCGAAACCTAACAAGTTTTAGTTCCTGTTGCAAATACTGCTAACTTCAATTTTATTTAACTTTTTGTTTTCTCTGGGTCTACAATTTTGTATAAGATACAATATCTAATATACTGAGTCTCGACCTATTTTGCCCCATGTAGCCATTTCACCATTGCTGGAAGATCATTTCCCCTTCCTTTCCAAAACTCGAAAAATAAATAAATAATTATATATGTTATAATTTAATGTGTATAAGGAAAATTTTCGGTCAGTCGTCATGGCAGGGGTAGAAAGCTAGAGACGAAGATGACAAAATTGGTTTTTTATAAATCACCAATCTTTATTTTCACACATATCCAATTAGTTTAGCAGATACTTATTCCACCATAATTAAGTACGATTATATTTCTATATATATTGTTTTTTTTTTTTTTTAAGAAATGACGTAGGCATTTGAGAAGCGAAGCCGCGCGGTTAGGGAAAGCAGCAGAGCAGCAGTTAGGGAAAGGAAGAATGACGTAATTAACTCGCCAGCGGTAATTATAAAATAGTAGACGCAATTGTAGAGATAAGCTGTGATTGGTTAATTTTAGGTTATTATATAACATGGTAGAATCTCGAATTTGGAAGAACAGATGAATTTAGGGTTAAGCACATAATCTACAATTGTTAATTTTGAGATTTACCTAGATTTAGATGATATTTTACCGTATTTTGTAAGGTAATCTAAAAAATGCTGATAAATACCCAAACTTAAATAAAAAGTAGTTATCTACATTCATAATCCAAAACTAAATACTTAACAACTAAATAAAAGACTGACGGTATACCCTCTTTGAAAACGTGAAATCCCCCCCGCCCGATTGGAAACCCCTGATTTAAAATCTACAGTAAACATACTTAATGTTTGTCCACGGCTATTATAACATTAAACAATGAGGGGAAAATGTCCTTCAAAGTAGCAGCGAAATTTAATGAAATATAACTAAAAACGTGTACATTCAGAAATTTGGGGTATATGTGTTTAAAGTAGTGGTAGAGAGAAACATTTAACCGTATGGTAAAAGAATGCGAATTACTTTGAAGATGCAACCTTTAAGTTATATACACAAACGTCCGTTTGTGTGTTTATTGTTTGTGAAAAACGTCTGTTATTTATATTTATGAAACGGGTATCTCATTTCATATTGTTTTTGTCATTAGCATATAAATAGAACGATCATTAAAGAAAAGCTTTTGTTTACAATGTGCATAAACCTGCATCCGAAGGTTCCGTGCAATTTGTTACGTTCATCCATCTTATTGCACGCACCTTAAATAATATGCAAGCTACGTGATGAAAAGTATGGCGTCATAAATATTAGAATCCTGGTCAGTTCCAAGCCAGTGGCCGATTTAGTTACTTAGGTTTGTTTTTAAGGTACAAAGAAGATTTTTGTTTACTGCTGGATGACATTTTAAGTTATATTTAAGTTCTTTTTTTTAATTTGTATTTTTGAAAATAGAGTTTTTAGTTTAATGTGCTGTAAATTATATTGTGTATGTATGTCCTAATGATCTAGTTTGCTGTGTAGGTTTCATTGTGTACTTGTGTGGCCAAGAAAGCGATTGTTTTCTTGCCACATTCTTCTTGCAATGAAAGTGAAAGATTCTGTCAGATGTATGATCTTGTAAAGCAATGCGTTACCCAAAAAAAAAAAAAAAAAAAAAAAAAAAAAAAACCTAATTCTAATTCTGTTTTAAAGGAATGGTAACGAGAAGGAAAAAGTAACGATCATCAGACTG